TTACTAAGAGACAGGGTTCCAATTTACTATTGCTTTTTTAAACAGTGGTGGTGGATGAGTGTGTATATATTTATGTTCTTGTTTCCTATCCTCAGACAAAAAGATCTGAAGAATTCAAGAAATGTGATGTCAACATAGGACATGTTTTGAAAAGGATGCTTTTACTAAGTACTGTAGAAAAGTTACTTGCTGGGAGCTATATAGAATGCTGATGAAAGGTTTCCTCCAGCTTTATTTTACCTGTAAGCTAAAGGAGATGGTGGGTTGAAGAAAACTCCATAGCAAATTCGTCTTGCCCAGAGCAGAAGCTGAATGAACAGCTTTCAAACAGATCATCTGCTGCTGTGAACCAGGCAACAGGCTCAGTGTGAAACTTTAATCCTGTTCCAGAGGATAGACACAGGGACAGGCTCATTTTGTTTGGAAAAATAAGGCATGGGTGAGGGGAAGGAGGCTGGGGGCATTGAAGGAGATTGGAAAAAATTGAAGCCAAAATACTTCTGTACCAGGAGATAAAGTGGGAAGAGATTTGCTGCTGAAAAATGTGTTGCTTATTCATAGGGGGGGGTTTATTGGGGTATATTACAAATACATGTCTGTTTAGTCCTAAAAAGGAATTAGAGGAGCCCATGAAGGTTGTGTAACCATTTCCATATTAATTGCCTGGTTTGAGAAGCTTAACCCTTTATTAACTATGCTTTGGAAGTGACATTATGTAAGCCGTGATTTCTACTAGAAATTTGACTGGTTTTTGGAAGAAGGCTGGTGGAAAAGTTGTGCTATCTCTTCTTGATCACCAAGATGAGGAGCGTACCTCCTCCTTGCTATCTGGGAGAGGAAGCAGTCACACAGTGTTCTTCTACATTTTGATAAATGTCTCGGCTTCCAGAATAGGTAGGGGTAACCAGTTGGTATGTTAAGTTGTTGATTTGATGGTATACAAAATCTCTTTGAAAAACATACTGAGAGCATGCTTAGTATATTTTGTCTTATGCTTTGTCATCAAGATTTGAAAACATACAGCTCAGAACTTTTTCAGTTGCCAGCATGGTGCCTGTATAGAGAAGTCTGTGTACAGAAGAATACAGTAAAACAGGTGTGAGCCACTCTGAACACATGGCAGTAGATGAAATCCCATAACTGCATTCACAGACATGACTGTAGAAGATGCTGAGTAATGTCAGGAACTGAGAGTGTTCAAGCTTTTGTCTCTGCTGTTTGCCATCGGCAGTCCCATACCTTTCATGACTCCCCACAAACATGGTTATTTTGAGAGGGAGGCAAACTTGCATTTTTACAGATGAGGCTGGTGAAAAGGTGGATGTTCTGCCCCAAGACTGGTGTTGGTTCAAGTAGCTGAGGTCACCACACCTTGGGAAGCAGATGTAAGGCCCATTTTCCTGTAGAAGTCTGATCACAGAATCATAGAATCGTAGAACCATAGAATCACAGAATGGTTTGTGTTGGAAAGGACCTAGTTCCAGCCCCCTGCCATGGGCAGAGACACCTTCCACTAGACCAGGTTGCTCCAAGCCCCGTCCAGCCTGGCCTTGAACACTGCCAGGGATGGGGCAGCCACAGCTTCTCTGGGCAACCTGTGCCAGCACCTCAGCACCCTCACAGGGAAGAATTTTTTCCTTCTTTCTAATCTAAATCTCCCCTCTTTCAGTTTAAAGCCATTCCCCCTTGTCTCGTCCCTACATGCCCTTGTAAGAAGTCCCTCTCCAGCTTTCTTGTCGACCCCCTTAGGTACTGGAAGGCTGCTGTAAGGTCTCTCCTGAGTTTTCTTCAGGCTGATCCATGTTTACATGTAAACTTCTGATTTCTGTACCCCTTGCCGATGACAAAAGCTGGTACACCAGCAAGTTTGGTTATGTCAGAGTTGCAGGCTTCCAGTGCCTTGCAATGACACGTAAGAACAACACCTGCCTGAGGCAAGCTGCCTGAACTTAACAATCTTCCAGCACAACCCCTTCAAAACTGATGAGGAGAAAAGTTAATGTTGTTTGGAGGAAATGCATATTCGGATTGAGAAGCTGGTAGTTTGGAGTTGGGCTCCTTAAATCATTAGGCAGCAAAGATGGAAAAGAAAGTTAGAGAGCTGGGAATGCCACTTGCCATGCCGAAGTGCAGAAAGAGTATCACTAAAACCAGACAGATTAACAAGAGTTAAAGTGTTTGCTGAGAGGGCTATGATTCAAGCATGAAGCTGTTGTTAAGCAGAAATGTTTTGGAGATTTGTGAATGCCCGCTGTAAGAATTATGCTGCTGTAATTAGCAGTCACATTGCAAAAGCAGGAACCATTTGTTGACAGGGGCGAGAAACACCACAAGGCAAATATTTCTTAGACCCTCTTTTGAAAGCTGTGGAGACTAAGCCAGTCTGGCTAATCACCCCCTCTAGCCCTGGATAGAGATGGGAATCAGAAGGGATTTTTGCTGTTCCTCTTGTCACGCACCTTATGGGACACCGAGGGTTGAGCTTTGGCTTCAAATAACACATGGAAAACTTCTCTCGAGTCCTCTCTCCCTTACTGGTGCATAGGAAGTAGTCTGTTCTTTGCCTTCTCAGTGAAGGGGTCCCTGTACCTCCGTACCAGTTACCTCCACAGGTTAGCAAGTGAAGTTCATTCAGATTAGAGCAGTCGGAAGAAACTTCGATTGAGACCCTCCATCCCCAAATATCTTCAACCCTGTGGGCAGTCCAATGCCAGCAAAAAGATTATCAGCCTGTTGGCAGGGGTGCTCAGCCTGATCAACCCTTACAGTTAATTTTACTCCTTTAAGCTGAATGACAGAAGTGCCAACCCCATTCCAGTGGCACTGGAGACCAAGCTGGAGGTAAAGCTTTTATGCGCTGCCCTGGATCTTGCTTACCAGTTTGAATGACCCGATCTGCTTGTGTAGCACACTTCGGCAGTTAGTGGAGAACACCCCAATAGCTGTAGTGTAAGAAAGAGACACAATAAATATTAGTAGGTAGAAGAACCCGAGTTCTTCTCTTTGCCATCCTGCTTCTGGCTGTCCCACTGCCAAAGACTGAGATCTGCACATCAGTCCAGCAATGGCCACTCGGAAAACAGAGTTCAACTTTCTTTCAAACACTAATGCTTCTTCAGGGCAAAGTTAATTGCTCTCTTTCATTTAATGAGGGTCTCCAGTTATAGTCAAAGTATTAGGATGTAAGATAGGCAGAGAAGCTAAAAATTTCAGCCAGGCAGCTTTTATTTCTTTATTATCCTTGCCTGTTCATACTGTCTTCAGCATGGGTGCTCCTTGGGCTTGTTACTGATGATGAATAAGAACAGACTGTGTGGAGATTAACACAGATGGTTGTAGCCTCAAGACTTGATGAGCTGTAACCAAAGAAAATAAATCTCTACGTTCAAGGAGAGCCTTACACAACAGAATTTCATGTGGCTCAGCTGTATTCAAAGTGGAATATTGAAATTGCTGAGCAAAGAATTGACTGGCTCATGTTGTGAATAGCCGTGTTGTATGGGTAAGTTGCTTACCACAGCCTCTCAGATGGAAAAAACTCAACTATGCTGTTTTCTTTTGGGTTAAAACAAACAAACAAACCCATAAAACAAACCCTCTGTGATTCAGAAATCTTTGGAAAAAACCTGTAGTTCATCACAGCAAATGGTGAATTGCAGAGGCAGCACCTCTGAAGATTTTGACAGAGGAACCCTTAACCTCCTGCTACAGAAATTGGTGTAAAAGCTAGAAAATAACTTCTTCTTTCCCTTCAAAATGTCTTTCATGTTTTGTACTCCTCTTGCTTCTGAAAACATGACACAAGGGCAACATTATCATTCAAACTGCTCTTTGAAACCATGGAAAGTCAGTTTTAAAGGAGCAAACACAGTGGAAAACAGCTAAGATGATTGTGTAACCTCTTGCTGACAGCATCTGGGGCTTCAGCAGCTCATGGGAAAACAGGGACAGTTTTCTAGACTAGAGGAAGCTGGGATCCATTGCCATGTTCTGCACTGTGAGTTAATAAACCGCATCTTCTTTTAAACTGATGCAAATTAAATCTCCTTATCAATCAATCATGATACTCAATTCACTTTGTATAGGTTTCAGGCTAGATACAGCTCCCTTAAACAGATGGTTGTGCCAATGGGAATGTCTCAGGCTGTGACTTCCGCTGGGAGGAGGAAAATAATGGAGCATTATATTGCACCAGCTCCCAGTCCGCTCAATTGTTTCATCCAAAGGTAAAGACTGGAAGGGTTTCTGTGTTTTATAGGGAAAGGAGGGAAGGCAGCATACTCTTGAAAAGCCAGTATCTTTCATGTTGGTCTCTGAGGGACCCCATGACCTCACTTCATGACAAATTCTTTCATGGGCTGGAGATTCGGATATCTTGCCTTAATAGGAAGGTACAAAGTACTCTGAAATATTTTTGACCACTC